GGCCTCGGCCGAGGCCCCGGGGGGATCGGCGGGGGGTCCCCGCTTTCGTCGTCGTCGTCGTCTCCCCCGTTGCTGCCGCCGCTGTTGTTGCTGCTGGCGCTGCCCGGTGGGGCGGTGCCGTCGGGGGACAGCGTGATCCTGGGGATGCGGTTGGAGGAGAGCACGAAGCCGGCGGCGGGGTCACCGGCCCGCGGGCCCATCCGTGTGACGGAGGGTAGCGAGGTGCTGCTCCGCCTCTACGGGCTGGGGTTGGGCCCCCGCACCGGCGAACGGGTGGCCTTCGCCGAATTACGACCGGCCGCCAACGCTTCGGTTCCCAACGGCACCTGCCCCGAGCGTTCCCAGGACCTGCTGGTGCAGCCTGGCCCGGCCGAGGCCCGCGACACCTCGGCCCTCCTGCGGGTCCGCGTCCAGCCCCTGCGCAAGGACGAGCAAGCCAAAACCTACGTCCTCTGCACCCAGCGCCGACCCGGCCAACCCTGGCTGCCCCATCAAGGCCCTGACGGCCGGATCGTGGTGCTGGAGGAGAAGAAGTCGCTGCTGCCCCTTTGGTTGCAGGTGATCCTCATCGCCGGGTTGCTGGTGCTGTCGGGGATGTTCAGCGGGCTCAACCTGGGCCTGATGGCGCTGGACCCCATGGAGCTGCGCATCGTGCAGAACTGCGGCACCGATAAGGAGAAGCGTTACGCCCGCAAGATCGAGCCCATCCGCCGCAAGGGGAACTATTTGCTCTGTTCCCTGCTGCTGGGTAACGTGCTGGTTAACACCACCCTCACCATCCTCCTCGACGACCTCATTGGCTCCGGCATCGGCGCCGTCGTCGCTTCCACCATCGGCATCGTCATCTTCGGGGAGATTGTGCCCCAGGCGCTCTGCTCCCGCCACGGCTTGGCCGTGGGCGCCAACACCATCCTGGTCACCAAGTTCTTCATGCTGGTGACGTTCCCCCTCTCCTACCCCATCAGCAAGCTCCTTGACTGCATCCTGGGCCAGGAGATCGGCACCGTCTACAACCGGGAGAAGCTGGTGGAGATGTTGAAGGTGACAGAACCCTACAACGACCTGGTGAGGGAAGAGCTCAACATGATCCAGGGAGCCCTGGAGCTCCGCACCAAGACGGTGGAGGACGTGATGACCCCGCTGCAGAACTGCTTCATGATCAACAGCGACGCCATCCTGGACTTCAACACCATGTCGGAGATCATGGAGAGCGGCTACACCCGCATCCCCGTCTACGAGGACGAGCGTTCCAACATCATGGACATCCTCTATGTCAAGGACCTGGCTTTTGTCGATCCCGACGACTGCACCCCCCTCAAAACCATCACCAAATTCTACAACCACCCCGTCCACGTCGTTTTCCATGACACCAAGCTGGATGCCATGCTGGAGGAGTTCAAAAAGGGTGAGGGGGTCTGGGGGGGTGCCACTGCTTCCCCGGGGTGCTACCTTCTTCCTCCCAGAGGAGGCCGGTGGATGCCGGAAGCAAAACTTTGGGGCGTTTTGCCCGCTGGGGCTGGAGCTGCCCACGCCGGGTCTGCCTGGGGTCCCCATGGTTCAGGCAGTCATGATCCAGAGGGAACCGGGTGCCTGGGGACACGCTGCTGCCGTGCTGGGGATGAGCAGCGCGGCACCGAACCGGGGGCAGCTGCTTGGTGCCTGCAAGCACCCGGGCTTCCGGGGTTTGGTGTATAACGGCGCTGCACTGGGGAGGGAGAGCTTCTCCTTTATCGGTGGCGGAGCAACCAGAGCTCAGCGCCAGCTTTGAAAAACACTTTGGGAGTGTTTACTTGCTCCTTGTTTTTAATTATCGGCCCTGGAGGCCCTTGAATAGCTGCTGGAAAATTGCTCGGCTTCCTGGTTTGGGCTTGGCTCCCTCCTCTGGGCTGTACTCCGCCATGGGGAAGCACCGCTCGGTGCCGGCCCCCATCCCCGCTCTGCTTCCTACTCATGGCATCGGGGCACTTAAAAGCGAGAGCAGCCAGAGGGCTGGGAGGAGGAGTGGGACCCAGGCTCGCCGGAGGCTGAGCGCATGGGGAGTGGGAAGAGCTGTGTTAGCTCTGCGCAGGGTTTGACCTGCCCGGGGTCCTCACTCGGGGCTTTGCCAGACCAGGCAGGGAACCCTTCTGCCCTCCCCAGCTTCTTGCAGCTCTTGCTTGTGCAGGACCAGCTGCCTGCGTCGAGGCTGGGATGAAATAAAGAGCCTGGCTGTGGAGCAGCTGTGCCGGGTGATGCCAGGCCAGCCCTCAGCCATGCGTGACCCTGCTCTCTCCTCTGGCTCCCGTTACACTTGCCCGGCGGAGGTTTGGGCTCATCGCGAGAGCCAGGTGGTTTGCTGCGTCCTGCCGCCATCAGGGATGTTTCGGGGGGGGGAGGCGCGGGTCATGCCGAGATTTAGGCGATCTAATAATTCCTCCCACAGCAAGAGCTCGGCTTGAGCTTGGGAGCTCATAGGTTCAAGCCTGGCTGATCTTTGAGGGCAGTTCTGCTCTTGCCTCCCTTTGCGACTGTGCTTCCCTGGCACCCAAAAATATTGGCATGGGAATAACGCCCCTTGGTCGTGGTGCAGCGTTGCCTGTGGTTGTGGCAATGACAACAGGATCTCATCGTCTTGGAGTTGCCCTGATGCATGAAAAACCTTCTTGGCAAATGCTTTTCCTTCAATTCATCTCATGCCGGTTCGAGAACCACTGTAGGACCGCACGCAGCCATTCCACTCCACCCCATTTCCAAAAAACAGCAGTACAGAAGCGGAGTCCTTTTGCTGCCGGAGCTGGAGTTATCCTGGCTGCTGGCACCGGCTTTCCCTCTGACGAATCCTTATTAAAGGATTTAAAGCACGCTCATTCCGCTTACAAAGCCGCCCATGTCCTGTATTGTTATTTTTTCATCGCTGCCTCTCTGGGTCAGAGGCGGGTAATTTGTGGGGCTGGACTGTTTCTGAGGTCCCCCTCTGAACCCCGTTCCTCATGGATGCAGCACCACGGTGAATCTCTGCCCTCATCCCGCTGATCGGGACTCGGATTGGAAGCAGGAGACGCACCCAGGAAAAGGATAAAGAGGGAGAAAAAGAACAGGCCATGCTTCCAATTGTCCTAATTGCGCCGCTTGGCAGCCAGACCTCTCCCCTCCAGTGCCACGGAGGTGTCCCAGGCACTGGCCTCGGGGTGACAGCTCCCGCAGCAACGTCGGCCCTCGGCTCAGCGCCTCTTCCCGATCTTCTTCTCTCGGCACACACTTGGCATGAAGCTCTGAGTGGGGAACAACCCTGCAGGGAGCTCCCAGCCTCCCTGCCGAGCTCGCGGTGTTGCTCTCCCACCTTGTATGGGGACTATCGCGGCAAAGGGGGTCCCAGGGTGGTGTGCGGGGTCCGTCACGCCCTGCTGGCGATGCTGCGGCAGCTGGCCCCATGCCCTTTGCTCTGGTGGTTTGGGCTCCCTGTGGCGTGTTTGCTTTGCCACCAGCCGCTCCCTGCCGAGCTCAGCCTTGGCCGCTCATCCCGGAGAGGAACTGCTGCCTGATTCATCGGGGCTGGCCCCGCAGCCCTGATCCTTTCACCTCTCCCCACCTCGCACACAGTCAGCAAAGGAGCCACCGCGCCTCACTGAAGGGGGTTAGACAGGTGGGTGAGGGGTTTTCACGGCCCAAGCAATGATTTTAGGGTCTTTTTGCCCCTCTATGCATCGACTTTTTGCAGCGCGGTTGCCTGAGCTGCATGAGCTTGACTGAAGAAGGAGAAAAAGGGGAGCTGCGCGGTGCCCATCCCAAAAATTAGCTTTTCGCTGAGCGACAAGGGGCCTGCAGTGGCCAGCTCTAAAATTAAATAGCAGATAGTGTTGGGAAAGGCAGTTTTACGCTGGAGCCGGAGCAGGACAATAAGTGGGACACCTTCCTGCTGGCCTGGGGGCAAGCGTGGTGCTTGAGGACGTAGGAGTGACTTTATTTTGGGCTGCACTGTGATCAGGGAGGAAACGTTGCCTTCCTCTGTGCCTCAGTTTCCCCAGGCTAAGGATACCGGTCCTGCGGGTGCGTTGGCCTGGCCTGGGCGAGCTGCGGTTTTCCACACGGCCGCTCGGCTCCTCTCCCCAGAACGGAGGCGGATGTTTCTCATCCGAGGACTTTTTCCTAGCAGCTCTGCACAATTTTGGGACGAAGCAGGAGAACTATCGGTTCATGGAGAGGCTTGGCCAGCGCCCGGCAGCTGGGGCAGGAGTGACGCCAGCTTCGACGCGAGCCGGCGGTTTGGATTTAGCTAGAATAAGGCAAACTGCGTCCTGCCTGCGTGGGGTGAGGCCGGAAAAGCGAGGAGAGTTGTTAATTCAAGGCTGGAGAGGTCTTCCCGCCAGCAAGGACCTGCCTGCTCGTTGCCAGGGCTGGCTGGGCAGTGGCTGCCTGCCCTTGGCTTTCTTCCCCCGGATGTTTTGGCTCCGGGATTGGGTGGCCGCTGCGGCACCAGGTGTCCGGAGTGTTTCCTGCTGGATGGGACAGCCCTGGGTCAGCTTGGCAGAGCCACCGAGGAAATTCGGAGAGTCTGGGGCCACTGGCAGAAACCAGATTTGTGGCAGCGGCAGCAATCCCCCTGTGCTGGGGTGCCCTCAGCCCATGGGCGCTCATCTGGCACCGCCGAGATCGTGCCACGCGCCGGTGATGTGGCACGGGCTCCTCCAAGGACACATCCCATCTCCTGTGAACCCCCTGGCCAAGCCCACACCCCATGGCGGCACGGGGGTGCCTTGAGCCTCGCAGGCGCTGCTGTCATGGGCTTAATTACTGTCATTACACTGGGAATTAATGCCCAGCCCAGGGGCTTGTTTAGATTTTACCTGGTTTATTGTTTCCTGTCCAGGAGGGTGGCAGGGAGGGAAGGGCTGGTCCCAGTGACATCCCTCGGTGCTGGGACCCAGCGGTAGGGCTGGGAGTGCCCCAGGGTGGTCTCCCTTCCAATGTCCATGTGTCTGTTCTCAGGGAAGTCCCACCTGGCCATCGTGCAGAAAGTGAACAACGAGGGCGAGGGAGATCCCTTCTACGAGGTGCTGGGGCTGGTGACGCTGGAGGACGTCATCGAGGAGATCATCAAGTCGGAGATCCTGGACGAGTCGGATACGTACAGTAGGTTTTGGACTCGGCCCCTGTCCCTTCCTCATCGCGTGCCGGGGTCCCACCTGCCCCCCCTGACAGCCTGCTCCCCACAGCCGACAACCGCAGCAAGAAACGGGTGGGCAACCAGAAGAACAAGAGGGACTTCTCGGCCTTCAAGGACCCCGTCAATGAGCTGAAGGTGAAGGTCTCTCCACAGCTGCTGCTGGCTGCTCACCGCTTCCTCTCCACGGGTAAGTTTTTTGGTGGGAGGAAGCCCCCCCACAGCTCCAGGCACCCCTGGGCTCAGTCCAGCTATGGAGCACCAGCACCGACGGCTCCCTGGCACTGACCCGGTTGGGCTCATTGTGCTGCCGCGTCCCTGGCAGCCACGTGGGCTCCGTTCCCATCCCCTCGCCAAGGAAGAGTCACTCTAACCATCTTGTTCAAAAATTACAGGGCATTTGCATCTTGTCCCACTCTCCTTCCCTCTGTCTCCCCCAAAATGAGAAGGGACAGGGCGCAGGGATGCCAGCCCTGCCTCTTGATGCTCGGCAGGTCCCTGTCCCTCCAGGATGGTCCTGTTCCACGGCATGGGTTCCCCCAAGGCTGGGGCTGGCCTTTCTGGGGACCTGGAGCTGGTGTTGGGGCTGGACCCATGGGCTTCTGCCCCAGGGAGGTGTCGATGGGGCCCAGCCTCATCCAGGGAACCACCCTGAGGGACGGGGGATGCACCTTCATCTGGAGGGACAGGAGAGGGACAAGGGCTGCGGCTCTGATGCCTCTTCGCCTCTCGTTCTCAGAGGTGACGCTCTTCACCCCCAACTTCATCTCGGAGAAGATCCTGCTGCGGCTCCTCAAATATTCTGACGTCATCCAGGAGCTGAAGTTCGACGAGGAGAACAAGAAATCCCCACGCCACTTCCTCTACTGCAAGAACAAGGCAGCCGACTACTTCATCCTCATCCTGCAGGTACCCAGGCGTGGGGTGGCATTGCCAGCCAGGCACGTGGGGTCCCTTGGGTGAACCATCACCCCGGGAAAGCTGCAATTATGGGGGGGGAGGGGGGACGTCTCCTCCAGCTCCGCGCTGTGGGATGGGGCTCACAGAGTCTGACCGCATCTCTCCCTTGCAGGGCAAGGTGGAGGTGGAGGCCGGCAAGGAATGCATGAAGTTTGAAGCGGGAGCTTTCTCCTATTACGGGGTGATGGCCCTCAGCCCCTCTCCTGTATCCGGTAAGTACCCCCCGATCGCCTGGGTGCCAGTGTGGGCAGAGCTCTCCCACCCCGTTTTATTGCTGCCGGTGAGAATAGGAAATGCTGGAGGCTCCAAGCCCCTGCCGGTGCCCCCTGAGCTGTCCTGGGGGGCTGTGTGGCCAGGACTTGTGGCCAGGGAGGCACCTGAGCATGTCTGGCAGCAGGCAGAGGGTCCGTGCCTGAGCCGGAGGCTGAAAACCCACTGCCCTGAGTTCAGGGTGCCCTCCCATCGCTGCCAGGCTCTGCGAGCGGCCAGACACCAACCCTCATGGTTCGGCTTGGCGTCGTGGGGTTACCAGCGCCTGTCCACCGGCCCCGCGAGGGGACAAGATACCCACAGCCACCCCTCTCCTTTACCCCAGCAGCTTCTCTTGACCTTGTCCTCTGCATGTGTGTTGTGTTGTCCGTCTCTCTGCCCTAGCCCTCCCAGCCCAGCCCCGGCGCCCATCCACAAAGCGAGGGTCATTGTTTGCCAGGTTGACAGGTAAACGGTGCGGCTGCATGGCGTGCCAAACCCCGCTGTGACCGCATTACCCTGCCGTAGTGGGCGTCCCCACCCCATTAATGCAGCACCAGATATTTTGTCCCCCCTGCTCCAGGCTGGCTGCTTGCCATCTTGTCTGGCTCCATGTGCCTCAAGGCCGTCCCGGTTGCTTCCCCACACCGCCGGCTTTCTCCCTGCCACATCCAAGTGCCTCTGGAAGAGAAAAGGCAGCTTCTGCCCTGGTGCGGGCTGCGGTGTGGGGCTGGAGCTGGGCACGACACTGCCCGGCGTCACCCAGCCCCGCTCACGGTGGTGTTAGGGTCCTGCACGCCCCGTAACCGTCCCGATTTCTCCCGGCTGCCAAGGAGCAGGGGGACAGCGCCGGCTGGGCAGCCCGGTGTTGTGGCTGTCCCCATGATGGCTGGCTGGTGAGGAGGTGCCACTCTCCCTGCTGCTGCATGTGGTTCCTGTGTCACCCTGGCTTTCCAAGCACGTCACCAGGCCCTCCTTGTCCCCGTAACCCCCACCTCGGCCCTAAACCCATGCAGGGTGACTGATCCACCCGTTCGGGGAGTCACAGTGTCCTTGGGCTGGGACTGTCCCCTGGTCCCTTGTCCCCTGGGCAGTGCCTGGCCTGGAGCAGGGGGACCAGACTCCCTGGCCGTGGTCGGTGGCCATTCGGCAAGTGATGGGCAGGGATCAAATCCAGCACTGCCTGGCAGAGCTGGGGGACGGCAGCGCTCAACCACGGGGGGCACAGGGCTGCGCTGGGGTGTACGTGCATCCCGTTGCTCCCTGTCACCGCTGGGCTCTGTGTCCCCAGAGCCTGTGGGATGGGGCTCTCCTCACACAGCACGCGCCGGAGCCAGGGCCGGCATCACCGGGGGCTCGGCACCCTGTAACCGGCAGGCAGAGAGTTGCCAGGCCTCATCCCAGAGTGGCGTAAGACCCTCCCCGGGGTAGGGGGTCCGTGGTGTGGCTAACCCCGTCCCTCCTGTCCCCGCAGAGATCCGCTCCCCGTCCCACGTCAGCAGCCTGAACCGCTCGGCCTCCCTCAGCTACCACGAACGCTCCGACTCCGTCTCCTCCCCAGTCAGCGGCAGCAACAACCAGCTCAACGCCGGCACCGGCGCCCAGTACGTGGCCGACTTCAGCGTCCGCGCCCTCACTGACCTCCAGTTCGTTAAGGTGAGGCGGGAGCCCGCTGGCACGGGGATGGGGATGCCATCAGTGAGGTCCGGCACCGGTCCTCATCCCCACCTCACTTATTATTTTTTTTCCCCGGCACAGATCACGCGGCAGGAATACCAGAATGGTCTGACAGCCTCCCGCATGGACAGTTGTCCCCAATCCCCCGACAGCAATGCCCCCAAACCAGACGCCAGTTTACCGGAGAAACCGGAACCCTCCACCACTGCCGACGAGACCACCAGTCTCCTGAACGAGAGGAACTGCCTGAGCCGCCGGAGCAACCACAGCCCCCTGGAAAACTCCATCTGACCCCGGCCCCGCCGGCACGCGCCGGGAGGGACCTCGCGTGCCCGTTTTAGGGACCCTTGCCCCGGTAGGAAACGCTCGGCGTCTCCTCGGTGATGCCGTGCCGCGTGCCGCGGTCGCCGGAGAAGCCCGGTTGAGCTGGAGGAGGTGGCGGCAGCGTGGTAGGAAACGGAGCCGGGATTTGCTGCTGCTTTCCAGACTGGCTTATTTTTAATTAATTTAAACGGAATGCGGTCGAGACGGCACAACTCTCCGCCGGCCGCCCCGCCGACGGCGCTCGTTCAGCTCAGGGAGCTTCAGGTCTCGTACGCCGCTTTGGGGAGGCAGGGTGGGGAGGGGCTCCGCTGCGGCCGCCCTGGGACGGGGATCCCAGCCCCTCTCTGGTGTTTTCGGGGGGGCACAACGGTAGACGGGGATGCCTGGGGTACGACATGATGGCGGCGTCTCATCCTTCTCCCGGATGAACCAGGGCGATCGATGCCGCGACCCTTCTCCGTGCCCGTTCCCCTTTCCCGCTGGCCCGGGGCACCGGGGGGATGCGGCGGCGGAGAGCTCGGCGGCGGGCCTGAAGCCGAGGGGATGGGCTCAGCGTCTCCGGTGCAAAGCCAGGCACGACCGAGACCCTCCGCCATCCCAGGAGACCCGCCCCAGCCCCTCTGCCACTCACCGGTGTCACGAGCATGCTGAGGATGGCAGGGACGGTGTGTGTCCCCCCACACACCTCCCCCCCGGCGGTTTCGGTGCCTTCCCCCCTGCCATGGGGCGTCTCAGGGTATCCGTGCCGGGGGGACGGGGATCGGTGAGGCGAGGAGGGGTGCAGGATCCGGCTTTTTGGGGCGGCACAAAGCTAGTGACCAAAGTTGTACAGGCAGGAGGGGGTCAGCGCCGTGTCCCCCCCGCAGGAACACACACACCCCGGCACCGGGGGACCCCAAAATCCCCTGGTGACCTCCTTGGGGCAGGACATGGGACCCCCCCGGTAAGCACCGGCTGGACCCCCCCCAGTCCCCGGAGCTTCGTGCCCTGGGGGCGGAGGGGTGTGTGTGGGGGTGAGACACCCCCCTCACCACCACCACCCCCCCCCAAAAAAAAAGCACAAGTTCCCTGGATGAATTCTGTAAGTTATTGGGAGAAGGTTAATTATTTTTGTTAATCACATCTCGACGATCAGGTCCTAGGTCCTTCTGCGGGGAGATACTAGAAATAATAATAATAATAATAATTAATAATAATAATAAACCAAGACAAAAAAGCCCCTTTTTTAATTAAATCTTCCTCTATGCAAATATCCCCCCCCCCCCCCCCCGTCTCCCCCCACCCCCCCCCCACGCCC